TTTCTTGGCCTATATAAAGCACTTTGAATAGCCAAATTCCCATTTAAATTTGCTGCTATGTCTCACCTGATGGCGTGAGCAGTGATACGCGTGGGAGACAGTACACTGGCTTTGAAAGGCATTGTAGACACAGTAGTTTGTAAACTGTGGCACCACCTTTCTAGCCAGACAAAATAATAGCCCAAAGCAAAATGACATGTTTGAACATCTTCATTTTGTTATCAAACTGTCAAGTTCTAAGGTAGTCAGTTTGAATTATTCCATGGATATTTTCCCCCATTTAAAAATGCTGTTTTGTGTTTTTTCCAAAGGCATGGTAAAGCGCGTCGTTAACGCCAAGATTGCTTGCTTGGACTTCAGCCTGCAGAAGACCAAGATGAAGATGGGAGTACAAGTCATTATCAACGATCCAGAGAAGCTTGACCAGATCAGACAAAGGTAGATCATTTCTCCCTTCTTGTACTGTCACAATACCCTTGAAAATGATCCCATTTAAATTTGCTGTGATGCTCAATCAATAGTTTGCACAGTGATACGCGTGGGAGAAAATATAAGCAGCCCCTCAGTCAAGGCAGCAGCTTCTCTCTGAGCTGTTGAACCACTACTGTGGGCTGGACAATTTTGCATTATATTATACAATGTATTGTATTAAAAATATTGCTGGTGAACCTGATTCACTTTTGGATTTCGTTGCTCCAGAGAATCTGATATCACCAAGGAGAGGATCCAAAAGATTTTGGCATCAGGCGCCAACGTTATCCTGACCACCGGAGGCATTGATGATATGTGTCTTAAGTACTTTGTGGACGTAGGAGCCATGGCAGTGAGAAGGGTTCTCAAGAAGGACCTCAAACGCATTGCCAAGGCAACAGGAGGTAGGGGTGGAGCCCGCCGAAGTTTGTGCTGAGTGGCTTTTGTGTTACTGCTGTGTACATGTTTTAACTCTGACATCAAGACTGTACCTGACTTTAAAATGTTTACTTCCAGGCTTAAAAACTGGTTAAAGACAAACCAAAAGTGTACTAATTTTTAATTATTGTAAGTAGGTAAGAGTTGTATATGATATGCATGTTTATATATCATCTTTATATTATTTTTTTTAAATTGAAGCAGTGAAGTATTAAATTCTATTGTATATAAAAGCCCAACCAGGGACAGGAGTTGAAAATTAGCATTAGCTACAAACGTTATATGCAGCACTTCAGTGACAAGCTTTGTTTTGACATTGTTTGCATTGTCCCTTTCAAATAAATAAATAATTAAAATAAAAAATGTCTTGGTCAAGCCGTCATATTGAATGATTGATTTTTAAACTAATAAATATCACTGTGACATTAGTTGTGTTTGTCCATTCTCAGCCACCATGTGCCCTTCTTTGACCAATCTGGAGGGAGAGGAGACGTTTGAGGCCACAATGCTCGGCCAGGCTGAGGAGGTTGTGCAGGAACGCATCTGTGATGACGAGCTCATCCTTGTTAAGAAGTAAGAACTGTAACTATATATAGCAGTGTCTTATACTTTATACTGGTAACTACAGAGTACTCCTAACTCTGTGCTGAGTCATAAGCTTTCATCAGTACAACTGTAGGTGAGAACATTTCAATGCATGCAATTTTATCACATCTGTAGTTTGGTAAATGGTGTAATATTGGCAATTTTTTTTTATTGCGTTTTTAAAGAAAACATGCATTTGAAACCCTATGGCTGGCTTTTTCACATTAATGTCTTACAAAGAGACAACTGCACCAAGGTCTCCACACCTGGAATTGGTAGCATGTAGTACTAAACCTTGTGTTTTGATAATGTTGTGTTTTGACATTTTTCAGATTCATTAAGACAGCAAATAAATTTATACATGATATTTTTACTACACAAACATTTCACTTGCACTACACCATCTAGGTCTCTTAAGTAGTAATCTCATGGCATCATTAAAAGCTGCTTAAGCCTAGTTCACACTACACAATTTTTACCCCGATTTGCCACTCGTTTGACCGTCAAGCTGTGATCGGCGGTCGCCAGTCATTCTGTGTGAGCTACACGACGACTCATCAAAAACGGCTCCCGACACATTTCTGACAGATCGCCGACGTCTGCCAGATATCTAGCATGCCAAATATCTGGAACAGTCAGCCAACTCGACATCCAGCCAATGAGAGCAGGCAGCTACTTTTTTACCGCTAAACACTTTCTACTCACCTCCAGCTTTCTCTGTAACAAAGACAATCCCTGCTACCTGCCTGTGCTAATCCATTCTTTCACCTATATTTTTGTCTTTAAAATTCCTATCTTTATAATAACAAACAGCAACTGTTTTGTGTGTAGGTTCGCGTCATTTCCCGTTTCACATTTCCCGTGTTTTCTTGACAAAACGTGGAGACCAGCGTCGGGTGACAGTCGTTGTCAGCTCGCGTAGCGTGTGACCCTCTTGTCACCGATCAGTCCCGCAGTGTGAACGCCACAATGACTTAAATACTTCAGTCACAAGATGGCAAGTTGTGTAGTGCCATCGGCCGACGCTGAAAGTCGTGTAGTCTGCACGAGGCATTAGTCTATGTAAACATGCTTTTTTGTAGTTTGACCACAAGTTGTCAGTGTTATAAGCTCTGAACAGAGACATCTTTGCTCAATCTGTACACATGCTAAACTTGCTAAATGTTTGCTTGGGAATACATCTTGCGTTGCCTTTTGTTCTGTGAAAAATGTCAAAGATAAATTGAGACAAATGAAAAGTATTTGGATTTGCATGATCTGTAGATCATCATGTAGAAACCCCTCGTGTTTATTGACATTAACATTTTCAACACCTTAGCACATGTTAACTATACCGGTTCTGTTTTCTCCTACCTTTGAATCACCTCAGTACCAAAGCACGCACATCAGCATCCATCATTTTGCGCGGGGCCAACGACTTCATGTGTGACGAGATGGAGCGCTCCATGCATGATGCCCTCTGTGTGGTCAAGAGAGTGCTAGAGTCAAAGTCTGTAGTTCCAGGAGGAGGCGCTGTGGAGGCAGCGCTGTCAATCTACCTTGAGAATTACGCTACCAGCATGGTGAGTCATATCTTTAAAAAAACACGTTCATTTGTCAAGCATGCAACTGTTGGTTAGGTGCCTCTTCATTTTATTTTTTTAAGAGATGATTTGTGTAGTGATCAGTGTAGTGTTGGCGGTGAGCCAGTTTTCCCAATGCTGAAATGTTACTCATCACCATGGTTTCTTTAGGGTTCCCGAGAGCAGCTGGCTATTGCAGAGTTTGCTCGGTCTCTCCTCGTCATCCCTAAGACGCTGGCTGTGAATGCAGCACAGGACTCCACTGATCTGGTGGCGAAGCTAAGGGCCTTCCACAATGAGGCTCAGGTTAATCCTGAACGCAAGAATCTCAAGTGGTGAGTCTTTCCTTACTGCACCAGTCATGAAACCGTAATGTCTGTATTTACAAATTGCCCTTTAGGTGTTCCATTTAGTGAAGTGGCACTATATGGATTTGGTCTGTCTATGATTAATGAGGCTGAGTTGATGTTCACTATATTATTCTAAACTGAAGAATAAATAAATATGAAATTGGCAGATAAATCAATTAAAAAACAAAAGGTTAGTTGCTGTCTGAACATTCGACATGCCTTTTGTATGAGATTGTTCAAACAAACGCTCTTGCCAGAAACAAGATTAACTTTTAAGACAATTTCCTTTTTACTGTCTCAGGTGAACATATACAGTATTTGAATACTTTCTTTTTTTTGGCTTGTAGGATTGGTCTGGACCTGGTGAACGGCAAGCCTAGAGACAACCGTCAGGCGGGCGTGTACGAGCCCACCATGGTCAAAACAAAGAGCCTCAAGTTTGCCACAGAGGCTGCCATCACCATCCTCCGTATTGACGACCTCATCAAACTGTTCCCAGAGCAGAAGGAGGGCGGGCAGTCGTACCAGGATGCCGTGCAATCGGGATCTCTGGATGGTTAAAAGGCTACGATTGGTCCAAATAGGTTCATTGTCTGTATTTATACATAAGGAGCTCTTTATGGCTGTTGCTGTAGTTGTAGGCTGTGCACTTTGCCTGTTTACTGTTCTCCCACTCCCTCTGGGCTCTCCTCTCCAGAGGAACTGTAAGCGATTAGTTTTTTTTTTTGGACACTTAATAAAGCTCCAATGGTTGGAAATGGACGTTGATTGGTTCATTGTCTGTTAGGATTGTGACAATAAATCGATACGGCAATATCGTATATTTTTCCATGATACTGTATCGATATTCCAGCCCATCAAATTGCTAAATAATAAAATAGCTCTTCAACGGTTAGCTCACTGCTAACATAATGGGAATCTCCATTAATATGCTAAATGACATTAGCGTTGCGATCACGAAAATACAATTGACAACTACACTTTTTGCTTCACATGCAAACATCCATAGTTGACACTGTGCAAATGCTTAAAGTACATGTTTCCTGAGCTCTGTGTGAAATAAATAGCTGCTAACTTCACTGTCTTGATCTGCTAATGTTACTCTTCTGCTTCCGCACTCCACACAGACCAGCTACAGCTATCAGTAGGAAGACAAAGGGCGGCACAATGCTGTGTCACTGAACAGTTAATGTGATGTACAGATTAGATTTAAGTAGTACTAGTAGTACTTGTATTTGCAGTGTAAAATGTAGTGAATTTGCATTTTGTGCCTTTTATAACAAATGTTTTGATAATTTTTCATAGTTGCTCTGTAGTTTTATTTACAGACTGAATGGTGCTGTTTCCTAACAGTTTGGATTTGCAGCCAATAAATAGTAAACTTTTTCACAGGCATTTTGTATTAATAGTTGGATATCATGATGCATCACTTTAGGATTGTCAAGCAATATATCAATTATTGCAGAATTGCTGTATCGTGATATCGTTATCGTGAGCCGTGTATCGCATCGTGTGGTACCCTGCGATTCCCACCCCTACTGGCTGTGTTTTTGTGCAGGCTTTGATATATGGGTTTCAAAGATGTTTTGAACTCTATGGCTTATAATTCTTTATTGATATGTAGAACAGCTAGATTATAGGAGACGTTTTCACAAACATCTGGCTGTGTACAGGAAGCACATGGTTTGAGGAGGTTAGCATACTTAATGTTTTGGCACTTTGCTGTGTTTCAAGGCTGCCATCTGCACAATTGATTAGAAAAAGTGGAATGTTGATCAGTTTTTCAGAGCAACCAAAATCTATTGAGTGGTTTAAACAATTATCAAATAAATGACACTATAACTTAAAAATGCTCTACAGAAAAGATGGCATGTCTTCCAAAACTCATCAATACTGTTATCGATAATATAGACTTGCCTTTGCGGTTTTAGTTTGAGTTTTTTCAGTTGTACAGGTAACTGAAAGCAAGTTATTTTGAAGGGAAAAACAGCCTCTCTTCATTGGTTGCTTGCCAACAACTACCAGCTGCAGCATGGTACCTATTATGTTTAAGCCGTCAGCATATATTAGATCATCTAGACATAACCCACATAGCTAGAACCTCAGGAAAGGTGAAATTAAGTTCACAGTGAAAATGACATACTATTATTGGGTATGATCCAACAATCACAACATATTCACTTTAGAAGACCCCAGGTAAACCCTTATATCGTCCTGTAGTGTAAACAATGAGTTACAGTATCCCTTTATCCATTCAAAATGAGATTAAGTGCAATCCACAAAGCAGCGCTAGGGTTTCATCTCAAACCCTCTCCACGCACATGGCGATGCCCATCCCTCCTCCAATGCAGAGAGACGCCACGCCCTTACAGCCTCCGGTCCTCTGAAGTGCGTGCAACAAGGTTACCAGCACTCTACAGCCGGACATACCAATGGGATGGCCCAGAGAAATGGCACCACCATTCACATTCACCTGAGAGGACGAGAATAACAGCGTTATAGTGCTGCACATGTTCCTGGAGTAAAACTGACTAGAGGATCTTATTGCTTCAAAGAAACTCTTATTTTTTCTTAACATTTGTGTGTAGTATTCTCTGATGTCAGTTTAATGGAGACATTAGATAAATGTGACATCAAATTTACAATCTCAAAGTGATGCTATACTCTTACCTTGTCTACATTTAAGCCAAGCTCTTTAACCACAGCGATAGACTGGGCAGCAAACGCTTCATTAATCTCAAATAAGTCGACGTGATCCAGCTGCCAGCCTGCTTTCTCAACCTATAAGAACAAGAAGAGAATGTCATATTAAAGCAGCTTTTTTCTCCCCCCCCCCCAATTATTGTTACATGTAGTTGCTTCGGATTTCTCACCGCTTTCCTGATGGCTGGTATTGGTCCAGTTCCCATGATGGACGGGTCAAGGCCAGCTTGAGCCCATGATACGATTCTGGCCATGGGCTTTAAGCCACGCCTCGCAGCCTCTGATTGGTTCATTAGGACAGTTGCTGCTGCTCCATCATTAATACCTAGAGTTTTTTAAAAAGCTGCTTTAGAAATTAATTTTGAAAAAGCTAGCACTTAAGAGAACTGCTGTGGCAGACATCTGTTTGGTCAGTGAGATAAAACTCTGTGGCATCGTCTCTGTGTCAAACAAAACTCTCCAACCTGAGGCGTTTCCAGCCGTGACGGTGCCACTGCTGTTCTTAATGAAGCAGGGTTTGAGTTTGGACATGCTCTCCAAGTTGCTGCCGTGGCGAGGAAACTCATCCACCTTGACCTCAATGGGACCTGAGGATGACAGACAAATGATGACCCAACTTCTCTGAAACTGAAGGATAAATTAGATAATAAATCGCTCAACAACTCCTTGCCTTTTCTGGAGGAAACCATGACTGGAACAATCTCTTGAACAAAATGTCCTGCTTTCTGTGCAGCCTCTGTTCTGTTCTGGGACTGGACAGCAAACTGGTCCTGCTCCTCTCGACTGACTTTCCACTGCGTCGCCACATTCTCAGCTGATACAATATTCATGAGATTGAATAAATAAACACTCATTTAGACATGTGGCAGTCAAAAGCGTGTGACCATGTATTCTCAGCCATGCACACACCTGTGATGCCCATGTGGTAGCCGTGGAATGCGTCCGTCAGGCCGTCAGCCACCATGGAGTCCTGCAGGGAGGCGTCTCCCATTTTCAAACCTGCTCTCATTTGCAGTGTGTGAGGGGCCTTAGGTTGAACCAGGAAACAAACTGTTAAGACGTCTTATCATCAAGGAAATCTGGACTCCCCTCACATCTTAACTGTTTGAAATATGCCTATAAATACTAAAATGGATAAAACCTCTAAGTAAAGTTGAAGGCCATGATGGTAAAGAGATGTTTTTGCAAGAATTTTGTCTTAAGTGTTTTATTTTCATTAAGCAGCCCTGTTTATTATCGTTGTTTTTTTGTTTTTTTTTAAAGAGGATTCCTACACACTCCTGTATCCGTCTGATATGACCGCTTGTCCACTATTTTATATTCCTCTCACCCTACGTGTGTCGTAACCTACCCTGCTCATACTCTCCATGCCCCCTGCAACCACCACAGCTGACTCTCCAGCCTGGATGGACTGAGCTCCCAGACACACAGCCTTCAGCCCAGAGCCGCACACCATCTGGCAGCTCCAGGCCGGGACAGGGTAGGGAATACCTGCCCCAACACTGGCCTGACGTGCTGGATTCTGACCATGACCTTAAGGACAGAAAGGAAAAATACAATGGGAAGTGAATACCAATGAGACAAAGTCATATCGGACTGATTTTGCCCAAAAACTATTAAGTCGACACATGAATGTGGAACCTCTGCCACAGTTTTCTCTCCTGAGCTTTCACCTGCTGTTAGCACGTGTCCCATGATAACCTCAGAGACCTCTTCTGGCTTCACTCCAGCCCGCTTCAGGACGTCCTTGATCACCACTGAACACAGGTCATGCAGAGGCACCGTGGACAGAGCACCGTTCAAGCACCCTGTGTAAAAATGCGGAGAAGATGTTGTAGCATTTGCACATAATCAGGGACACAGTGGAAGACCATTTATCCACCATTTTACAAGGGGAGACTTTTTAGGCTTACACAGCCCAAATAACTATCAAAGGCTGTATCAAATGGAAGTTGTTTAAGGATAAAGAGAATGTGGTTGGGTTTAGTTCCTCAACATTTAGTCAATTAATTAGCTGACAGAAAATAAAATTATTTGCCAACAGTATTGACAAGGTGATCTACATATCTTGCTATTTTAGATAGTACACCATGGTCACAGTGTATATTCATCTTTCCCCATACAAAGAAGGGTAGATATGCAGATGTTGCAGCGGTCCTTCAACCCTACTGAATTCATTCACATAATCAGTTGTTTAGCTCTATATGAAAAGTGCAAAGAGATAACTTCTGTTATGAATTGGCACTATATAAATAAAATTAAATTGTTTAGGTCATTATTAGAATTTCCTCTTTTATATCATTGTGCATCATTTTGCTTAACAAACAGGCCTAACAAAAAGGTTATCACATCTTAGAGAGGAAACACGCCCAACCTGCTCTTGACACACGGGACATGTTGTAAGTAACCAATGATAGGAAGCTCGTGCTCCGTGGCACTATGAGCAGCCAGCCAATCACAGGTCACAGAACAATCCTGACACATGCGCGAACCAATCAGAGCGCTGCAAGACGCAGACGTATTTAATTGAATGACATCAACCACTTCGCAAAATTAAACCTGACAAATGACAACACATCATCTCACGGGACTGTATGTAAATACAGAGAGATATGATAGCTGTAATAATTATTAACTTCCACTACACTTAGTTTGACTACAGCGACTACAAGCCGCATTGTTAGCAACAGTCAAGTAACGTTACAAATGTTGCAAACAGTTTCAAAAGAATGCGCATGCTTCTAGGGAGATATTGAAAACTTACCAATCGGTGTCCGAGCAGCAGAGACGATGACAACAGGCTCGGTGTTCATTTTGGGGTTGAAGTCGTTGCTTTCAAGTGTTGTTCCTGTGTGTCCACTGGTGTCCACCAAAGACTGTACATAGACCGTAGACTGTGTCCACTCCTGCCTGCCTGTCAGACCTGCACTGATACACGGATATGTGCAAGTGTAACTGGTGGGAGTATGCATTACAGTGCCACCGTGTGTTTGGAGGATGAGTCTTCATTCATTATAATGCCACTTTCAGTTGAGCTGAATGTCACTTTGAAGGCCACACAGTTAGTCAAGACTTCCACTATATATTGTTCATTTTATATTTGTTGTACTTTTAACATTATGCTTTCCAATGAACTGCTATGCCATTTTAATCTTGATGATCAGAAACTGCACTGTTGGTTTTGCACACTGGTTAGGGTAATGTACTTTTTAAAACTTGTAACTTTTGCATTTTCTTACTTCCTGTTCCTTTGTACCTCTCCATATGCTACTGTAATGTTTAATTTTCCTCCTGGTTTTAATAAAGTTTCATTATGTTCATGAGATTTATGTAAAAGATTATGTAAAATTAAGTGCACCGTAACTCATAACACAAGCAAAACTTATTTTATACATGTTCACCCTCTTTGTAGTATATTTTGTTAAAACAAACTCAAGGAGCGGTCTTTCTGACCCAGTGGGTATGATGAGGCCTTTTATGGCCATTTATGCTGTGAGACAATAGTTTACACAAGTAAAAATGGCTCTCTCGGTAGTATTAAAAATCTTTATTGGTATTTGGTCAGTACATGAAAAGGACTGAAGTCAGAATAATATGAACATCGCATACAAACTACTCACAATTTAACAGAATCTTTTGAACAGAATTTTTGTCAATGAAAAATTAAAATTGCATTAAAAAAAAAAAAAAGAAAAAACACAGGCCAACATCTAAAAAATGACCTTGAATATTTGCGAAGCTACTGTAATTCAGTGATTTTACTGACTTTTGACGATGAGTTACAACACCAGATGCCTGATTTCAGTGTCAAGAGCTCAAACAAGAACAGCATAGACGTGCTCAAATAAACAGCAGAATGAAACGTACTAGTTTTAAATCATACATCCACTCAATTCAATTCTAACATTAACCCATACCGGTTATATCCCTGTTTAGCAACACAAATGTGACAGAGGCATCACGATAGGCAAGGGGAGGAGGGTGAAAACAAAACGTCTTGGGACAGCAGTGCTGTGTTACAGACTATGCATTTGTTGCCTTGTTTGTATATTGTATAAAAAAAAAATAAAAATAGAAAGAAAAGACAGTACATGTCAAAGTACATTACAAAACGGCACTGTCGCTCGTACTGGAGTCTAGGCCGTTCTGAGTGTGCCGTGACCCTGCAGTCCTGGTGCCCTTGGTCACCAGGGCAGCCTTGTCCTCATGGGGGTCGGTGGAGTCTGTGTCATTCGAGTGCTGAGTCAATGATGTCTCGCTTCCCGTCGGAGAGTCCACGCTCTCGTACCCTGCACTCAACTGGCTCCCGAAACCCACAGGTCCTCCAACTCTCCCAGCAGCAGTCTGACTCCCGGACACCTCCTCCGAGTGGTTGGACAGTTTGGTTTCAGCGTCACCGGGGCTGGAGACCATGGGGGACATGGGAAAGTCTTCCTCTGTGCTGCTGACCTCCCGGTACAGGCTGGGTGTAGTGGTCTCGCTCCTCTGGGATGAGTTGCCATTGCTTGGTCCATTGGAGACCCTCCCGTAGTCTTTGCCTATTGGTTCAGAGGGTGCGCTGGCCTGCTCAGGCTGGGTGGACGGTACAGCGGACAAGCTGGAAGCGGTGGGTGAAGTCCTGCTGGGTCCTGCTCCAGCCAATGCCCCCTGGGTTTGAGACAGCTGCTGACGAGACTCCTTCAACTGCTGCTGCAGGACGAGGATAGTGCTCTGCATCCCCTCCACCTCCTCGTCTAGCTGGATGATAAAGTCATTCAACTCTGGGAGAGACGGAGATCAGGAACAGAAAAGTCAACAGTCAAAAATCAAATCAACAGTAACATGTTTAAAAGATGTACAGTACTGTGCAAGAGTTTTAAGCAGATGTGGAAAAAATCATGTAAACTAAGAATGCTTTCAAAAATATCGATGTTAATAGATTTAGTTGATCAATTACCAAAATGCAGAGTGAGTCACGGAAGAAAAGTCTAAATCAAATCAGTATTTGGTGTGACCACCCTTTGCCTTAAAACAGCACCAATTCTTCTAGGTACACTTGCACAAAGTCAGGGATTTTGTAAGCACATCATCCGGTGTATGATTAAACAATTATACCAATCTACTAACAATCACCAATTCATTATGTAGGTTAAACACAATCATTAACTGAAACAGCAAAACTCAGCTAACAAGGTAAAGTTGCTGAAGACGAAGAAGTTTGTTGTCAAGTCATTCACGATGGCAAGACTGAGCACAGCAACAAGATGCAAGGTAGTTATACAGCATCAGCAGGGTCTCTCCCAAGCAGAAATTCCAAGGCAGACAGGGGTTTCCAGATGTGCTGTCCAAGCTCTTTTCAAGATGCACAAAGAAACAGGCCATCTACAGGACCATATACACAGTGGTTGGCCAAAGAATCTTACCGCAGCAGATGAAAGACTCATCATGCTTCCTGCCCTCAGAAGATGTCCAGCAGTGCCATCAACTCAGAACTAAAATAGACACGTAGAACCACGATTCACCCACCTGATGTCCAGAGAAATCTGGTCAGAAGTGGCCTTCATGGAAGACTTATGGCAAAAAGCCATGCCTCCAACATGGAAACAAGGCCAAATGACTCAACTATACACAGCAATGCAGAACCTGGGTTGTAGAAAAATGTCAGCTAGTGCTCTGGACTGATGGGTCAAAATTTGAAACATCTGGCTGCAGCAGCTAGAGAGCGGTTCAAGAATGACGAAGAATGATGAAGCATGGTTGACGTTCCTTGCAAGTTTGGGGCTGTATTATTGCAAAAGGAGTTGGGGATCTGATCAGAATGAATGGGCTCCGTAGTGCTGAGAAGTACAGGCAGAAACTTTTTCATCCAGCAATACCATCAGGGAGGCATCTGATGGGCCCCAAATTTATTCTGCAGCATGACAACGACCCCAAACATAAAGCGAAAGTTATTAAGGACCATCTTCAGCTTAAAGAACAACAGTAAGTTCTGGAAGTGATGGTATGGTCCCCACAGAGCCCTGATCTCAACATCATGGAGTCTCTGAGGTTACACGAAGAGGGAGAAGCAACTGAGGCTGCCTAAATCCACAGAAGGACTGTGGGTAGTTCTCCAAGATGTTTGGGCAAACCTACCTGCAGAGTTCCTTCAAAATCTATATGCAAGAGTACCCAAGCAAAGGGTAGTCGCACTAAATAATGATTTGATTTAGACAGTTCTTCAGCCATTCACATAGCATTTTGGTAAATGATAAACAGAATCTATTAACATGTCTATTTTTGAAAGCATTCACACATAGTAAAGTAAAAATAGTCAGGCTGTGAGATGTGGATGCCGCTCATGTTCTCACCGTCTTGACTGGTCTTGAGCTCCTCGCTGTACTTCTTCTGCAGAGCCAACTCCGCTTCCAGCTGGGCAATGCGTCCTTGGGACAACTGCCTACCCAACTCCTGGTTTTCCTGAATCAGCATTCGACACTTGGCCATCAGTTTCTTCCCCGTTTGGCTGTAAGGGAAACAAGTCTCACATCACACAGTGAACCAGGAGACAAAGGCAACAGGTAATGAGATGCCACTGATCTGTTCCAACTGCCCAATCCATGAGCCAAGGGTCAACAGAAACTCTTCAACCTGGCCATCCATTAATGACTCTCCAGCCACATAACATTATATCCCTTAGATTCCAATGCAATACAAAATTATCAGGATCCCTCTGACACAAATCTGTTTTGCACAAATAAATTATTTTCTTATTCAAGTTCAAACTCACATTTTTTCCTATAACTAAATTAAAAGTTCAATTATGAGTATGTACTAAAATCTGCTGAAACCCAAAACAGGCTACCTAGACCCACACTTCTTTGGAACTAATTCTTACACTTTTAACTTAATTCACCGTGTTGCACTTTTAAAATAACAGTAGCAATTCTGCCGCCACCAAATTCTCAAATTCGTACACACACTCGCTACATCACTGGGTGTTAAGAAAAAGCAGAATAAAAATGTAACAGTAATATTAGAATGACACGCTACAAGAAAAGCTACAATTTAAATATCAATCTTTAACTATGAGTAGCAAACAAGGAAATGTGCACTGCAGAACCAGGCACAGGTTTTGTGTAGTCATCACTTTAAATACACAGGAGCAAGTGCTTCAACAGTAAAATCAAATAGCTTAAAAGGTGCTGCCTTCTCAACTTCAGAAATGCTCCAACGGTCCAGCACACCTGTTGAATTTTTACATTAGCAGTTACTGTGCCAAATTTGCAAACAAGTGACAGGCAAACATGTCATTTGAAACCATAATTAGCTGTCAACTCTTTAGTCTATAAATGCCTATGGAAATCATCTGGCCAAAGGAAAATTACATTTTAACAGTAATGGCAAATGAACCCAGTAACTGTACCATATAAAAGCAGCAGCAGTCATTAACACGGTAATAGCGCAGAAAACCATGTATCTTAGTCTTACTTGTCATAAAAGCACTGTAGATTATAGAGTTAATTGCATTTACCGCACTTCTTCTCAGCAGTTTAGTGGTTATATCTAATAGTTCATCTAAAGGACTGGGAAGACGTACGCTTTTAGCTCTCAAAAGGCTGTGAATACACTGCCAGCTCAAATCTCACTGGAGTATAAATGTCTTTTTTAAAAAACAGGAAGACATAACAGATTCCACGTGTTTCATTCTAAAAACAATTCTGTGGCTCAAGATCTGTGCCACACAGGTGATAAAGAGACATCTAATTAGCTATTAGTGCAGATGGCTGAGGGAGAGATTGTAAGGGTCAATAACAAAAATACACATACAATAAATACATTCTCATCAACTCATAACATGACTTGTTAAAGACATTTGCATTCACAACTTGAAAACAGCACTCAATGCACCTACAGCAGTGTGGTTCATTACTCATTTGAAGAATCAAGCAAAGCTTAATTCATTATAAAAGTGCAAAT